AGGGATAGTGCGTTTGATGTAATGAAATACTTTAGAGCGTTTTGCCAATTTAATGGATATATGTACAGGCCAATCAAGTGAAGAAGAAATTGTGACGCCCAAATTTTTAACACTTTCAACATGTTCATAATTGTGGCCATTTAAAGCAATAGCAAATGTGTAGATGTCATTGCGAAATTTTATCAGTTTCGTTTTTGATGCGTGGAAAGTCATGTTGTTCCGTTGCGACCAAAAGCTATTAGATCTTGCTGCAAGCTGTAATTGCTTTTAAACCAATCCCACTGAGTTTGGCATCATCAGCAAATAGTGAACACAAAGAACAGACAGCTCCGTCGGGTAAGTCGTTTATGTAAATTAAAAACAGAAGAGGCCCTAAAACACTGCCTTGAGGGTAATTTAACGCTGCCAATGCGCACACATTGAAATCTGCCCCTGAGGTGAGATGTTGAATGAAATCGTCGTTTTTGTAACAAAATAGTGTAGTCAACGTTTTCGAAGGCTTTCTGAAAATCGAAATAAACTTAAGCAGAAGGAGTATTTGAATCTCCGTACATTAATAATTCGTCAACAAAGGCAAGTAGTTGAATTACAAGATATCCTTTTTTCATGCAGCCGTGCTGCTGGATTGAATGTTTATCACAGACTTTCGACTAAATGAAGTTGAAAACTATCCGCTCCAAAACTAAAGAATTTCCGGAAAAATAGTTATACTTTGTAGCATTAGACTTCGATCCTGATTTATAGAGAAGAGTGACATAGGAACTTTTCCACTCAACGGGCCAAACACAAATTAGGAGTGCAAAAGTAAAAGGAATGCAGCGAATATGCGATAGAACTGTATGGTATCAAGACTAATTTAAAAAGGAAATACCGTCCAATGATGTTTTAGCTGAATCATCGATCTTTGAAAAAAGACAGTCACTCATAGAAGTTTAGATAGGAATATCAGAAAGTGATACTTGGCTTTTTGATGCAATATTAGTAATAGGAAATTGAGGTGTGGAGATGCTGAATATACAACGGAAATAGTCATTGAATAGAACTGTTTTAGCGAGAGTGGCAGTTCGAGGTGTATCGTTGCAAGAATTGGCGAAGAGGAGCTTATTGACCTCAGAAAAATAAAGCATTCTAGGATTGAATAACGTCTGATGTTATTACAAAGAATAACTCTGGTTGCTGAAAAGGTTGTTGAAGTTTGGACAGTCGTATCTTGGAAATTGAACTGGCTTTTTCGTGACGTCTCATTTCGGTTTGAATTTGGTTGTGAAGATGGAGAGAGTGTGAAGAATAGTAGAAAGGTAACACTCGTCGCTTGTGTCGCTTTGTACTGGACGATAGATAAATTTTTTTTTAAAGAAAGTATAGAAATGTAGGAAAAAGCTGGCAGGATCAGCATTCGAATAGTCAATAACTTAGGTAGCTGATGAAGACCCTCGATATTGTCCGTGAAGACGGAGGAGTTAAATGATGATTTTCTAAGCGACAGAGCAGAGCCGGACCGAAATTTCGAAGCACTAGAAAACTCGAATGCGATGAGTGCTAGAAATTATGCAAGCTAAAGGCCGGGCTCAAGATCCACGAGAAATAGAAACGAATGCATGAAAGGCCGGCATGTAGCTTCACATGAAAAATGCGACACATCGAAACAACGAATCACAGGAACAGCCATCAATTGTGCGATTAGTGCAAATATTGGCAATAAGCAACAAATTTTGGCTGTCGCCAGAGGACATGTCGAAACCAAGCAGGATGGCATGCCAACTAACATGACGAGCGCCTGAAGAAGGTGTACTTTTTGGGTTGTGTTAGTTTTGTTAATGACGTCCCACCACAAGATAACTACTTCCTCTCTCGGGGATGTTTTCACAAGTTATTGTTTTTGTTTGTTCGCGTGCGGATTTACGCTGATGTCTGGGATAGTTGCGATGAAATTCGATTATCTTTGTGTCTTCTTTGGCAAGAAGCTAACGAGTAATGAAAGCACCAGCTATGGTATGAACAATCAAATTCCAGCCTTTCCCACTGGGGGATGATCCCTGCCAGTTTCTTGAAACTCGGTTCAGTGTTAAAGTCGATTCAAAGGATTAAGTCAAAGCATAAGGCGGGAGAATTTATTAAAGAGAAGCCGGTAGCGAAATAATCTTTGAGTCAATATCTTACGGAAAAAAAGTTAATTTTTTCAAGAGTTAGATTGAAAGCATTTCGAAGGATGTTTATCAAATGTAAAAGCACGAAAATTTTTTCACTTAAAAACGTGATGATTTTTTTGTTATATTTGTCAGGATAAGACTTCAAGCTCAAATGAGTTTTTTTTGCGGTTTGAAGTTTGTTTTCTTTTGATTTTTGCTTTTCTTCCGTTGTTTAAATAACTCAACGTGAAAAATATGAATGACTTCAGTTTCAAAAATAAACCTGTTTTTTGAATTTAGTGGAAAAATTTTACCTATTGTGTCAGTTTCTTCTAAATTGGATAGTTTTAAGAAGTGTGAGTCGTAAAAATTTTGTCTCTGGTAGCGAGTATCCGATTTTTTGAAATTAATTTGACTTCTGTGACGGTTCTGTGTCACATGGCAAGTTTTTTGCCCGAAGTGGATGAAATAATCAATCCGATGCGGGATGAATTACTTCACGTTCTCGTTTGCTCGCTGCACATTGTCGTTTGAGTTGTTTTTCGTCTTGATTTTGGGATCCTCCTGCTGCCTGCTACTTGTATCCTGCTGGTTTTTGTCAGGTCTGAAGTGGCTATTTTGGTTTCTTGACCACTTCCCATGAACTAGCACATACCGTGTGTTCTCGCTAGAATTCTGAGCGAGAAAAAACCAAGGTCGTAACTAATGAGTTTTCTGGTGAACGAAGAACAGTGTGAAAAAAAGACGAAAACTGAGAGATTGAAACAAAGTTGACAAATTGTTCAGGCGCTGTTTTAAAGTTGATTTTTAAATGTTTTCATTTTGCGTATTTTATAACATTGAATTCTGCATTTAAATACCGAAATTTATGTCAGTTCGATATTCTTTGTTGACTTGTAATTTCCGATAATTACGGTTAATTTACGTATGAAATGAAACGTTGTCAATCAGCCAGCTACCCGAAATCGATCTGCCTCAGAACCGAAACGAGGCAGAAATACCGTGCCCCCTTATTTTGTGCGTTTGAGCCACTTAGTTTTTCTCGACACTGTGATAACTTCTTAGAGTCCAAATGAGGACTAAAAGGGCTTCAGTTTGATACAGATCACTTATCTGTTAGGAGACTCCCTTTCAACCAGAGTTTTGCTGGTAGCGAACTAATCTTCTGAGTCAATGTCTGACCCATTAGGCTTAATTGTTTTCCAGAGTTAGGGTGGAAGCATTTGCTAGAAAATTTATCAAGTGTAAAAGCGCGAAATGATTTTCAATTACATAAATCGTGATGATTTTTTTGTTTTTTTTTCCAGGAAAAGGCTTCACGCTAAAATCTGGCTTTTTCGCAGTTTGCAGCTGACCTCTTTCTATGTGCACTTCCTTCTGTGTTTTAAGGAAGGCAAACTCAATATGAAAAAAAAAATAAGTTTCAAAATTTGGCTTAAGTTTTAAATTAACAGCGGAGTAGAAAGAAACAAAGAATTTATTTCTCCAATTATAAATTTGTCGCAAACAAAGATATAAATATAACCAAATTCCGAGAATTGGAGAGGACAGACAACGGGAACTTCGGACCCACCAAGTGTCTGGGATAATTTTAGGAAAAATGTGTCAATCATGAGCAATTCTTGGCATTGAAACTTTTTGCTGGAGGCGAGTTTCCTATTTTGTGAAATTGATTTGTCACGGCGCTTTTTTTGCCCACGTCAGATGGATTAATGCATCCGATGCGGGGATAAACCACTTAACGATTAACCAATTTGATACAGGCCAGTTTTTTCCCTCATGAGACGCCTTTTCGATTTCTGTCCAATGCGAGCAAACAGGCTTTTAAGTGATATAAAACAGGACTTCATACGAGCTTTTACTAGAGAACCTTAATTTGGTTGGGAAAAAATAAGCGTCGTTGAGCGTAGCTCTTCTCGTCCTTATTTAGTAATGTGCGCGGAAGAATGAGTTAGCAACTGTAAAATCTGATTGGAACTATCGTTCGATACTGTTTGAGGCTTGTTGTCTCGAAAGTTGTCCAGCAGTTTCTTTGCTTCATTTCAAATATTCAAAGGATACTGTTTGAGGCTTCTTGTCTCGAAAGTTGTCCAGCAGTTTCTTTGCTTCATTTCAAATATTCAAAGGACTAGGCCCATACAGGGGCGGATTTAGGGGGATGAGGACGTCCCACCTCAGGGATTCGACCCCCTGCCGACCCAAAGGTTCACCTCTTTGTACTATTTTGAGATATCCATATTTGTTTGTTGACGGACCCTAAAATTTTTCCAAAGCGCGATTTTTTGGTCAAAATTTTGGAAACCATTTTGGCCTTTTTTGGCTGTTTTTTCAAAATTTTGCCTGTGGTTTGGGGGAGCTTTGCCATTTTAGTGCTTTGGGGGAGCTCCTCAAAAAATCAATTTGGCCGATCTAAAAAAAAGGTCGACAAAATTTTCGAAAAATAACTGGCTGCACGATACATTGGTGTCCAGTTAGCTAAAACGGTTTAAAAGCCAACAATGATTTCTTGCAGGTCACATTAGTTGTAAATTGCCAGATCACGGTAATTGTAAAAACGATGTAAAAGATGTTTTAAAAGTTGAAGGCAGGGCGATGAATTTTCCGCTCATGCGTTAAGCATGAATGTCAGAGTTGTCCAACACCATAAGCAAGATATTTCAACAGCATCTGCTCTTTTCAACGGCTTGGTTTTTCAGACTAAATGATTTATAGTCTATTACATCCAGTTATTCGATCGCGTCTAGTCATGAATTCTGCCTCTCTTACACAGGGAGTAAGTGCCCTGTCGCGATCTTATTGTCGTGGCCATTTTAAAACTTTTTCAATTTTTCTATGGATGAACTGATTTTGTAAGTGTCGATTTTTGTTTAGTTTTCTGCTCTGGGGCTTGGTGGCTCTGCCGGTGCTGGACACAGAGCCGGGGACCACCCTCAGCAAATCCAACAATACCCCCACCCAGGAGCACAATTCGGAGGTAACCAGCCTGCGAAATATGTCCCTCCTCACCAGCGAAGTGGGAGAGGGGGGCCGGGGCCAGATGGTATGCCACCCATGGGGGTTCAACCAATGTTCATGCCACCAGGTGTAGCTGTGGGACCACTTCCCAGTGGAGACACCAGCCAGGGATGGAACCAGCAGACGGCAGCACCAGCTTACCCTCACACTCCCCAGGCAGACTTCAATCGAGGAGGTCAGGCAGCCAATGAGCCCAGACAACAACACCAGAACGGGTTCATGCGGGGACAACAAAGTAATTACCTCGACATTCTTTTTTTGAATGCCCTATCCTTACCCTTGCAGTAAGCAAGGGCATTGCAACCGGGTAGTAGACTTTTTTGCAGTAAACAACATTGTTCAAATGGTTAATTTTACGAGAGCTGTATTATCAGCATGGTTCGAGTGTATGAACTACATATATAAACTTTGGGTGAACGTTACGAGTTTCAATTAGTTTTTATTTGTGCCAAAATATTTCGCTAGATTTTCGGAACCGAGGTCGGTCGGCTTTGTTTCTGTCTGCCGTTTTTCCTCACGTTTTTTCTTTTTATTTTCGTTGTTATTACGCTTGCGATTAGCAAGCGTTATCAAACCGTAATGTAGACTTTCCCGAGTTAGCAACCTGGTTAACAGAATCACTTGATAACTTATTCATAATGAATTCAAACTTCTAATTCAAACACTTAGTCTGTAGGTAACTAATACGCCTGGGACAGCAAAGGTCCTGGGTTCGAATCTGAGCAGGGACTGTTTTTTTTTCAAACAGTAAATGTTTCGTTTCGAAAAAATGTCAGCTTATGTTTTGTCGGCTTAGTTGCCACATCTAAGAATTGTTTTTTTTTCTGCGCGCATTTTAAGTATATTTTTCTCTGTTTGATTTACGCCTTTTATTTTAGTTACCTTGACTTCGTTTTCCTTCTTTGTTTTTTTGTTTCGCTAAATTATTTCGGCCTGTTTTTTATCGTCTGAATGACCTAATTTTGGGTCGTTTCAAGGAGACACAATTTTAACACTACCCTCCTCTTTCCCAAGATGTTGTTTAATAACCAATCGATTTGTTGAATTTCTTCTTTTTTTTCTTTATGGAAAATTATTTCCAAATATATTGGAAAAATTTTAGCTTTTCTCAGAAACTTCTTCTGATTCATAAAAGGGGTATCGATTGAAAGACCGCGTACTCCAATATGTGCCTGCATACTCCGCTGTTGCCTCCCTACTCTGAGCCTCTTTTTGCATAAACGGCTACACCCAAAACTTTAAGTAATGAGTAAAAATAATGCCACGGAGTAGTCAAATTTTTGTTTTTGACCGTTTTGTGAATCTTTTTGACTTATCTCGAGAACTAGCCGCCCAAATCTGGTTTTAGGGTTCACTGGAGATAATGGGTAGTGGGAAGCTCCCCTGATTTAGCGGCCTCATACAACGTTTTTTTTTTCACAAAAGTTATCGTCCTCGAAGTCAAATTTTTGGTTTTTGGCCGTTTTTTAACTTTTTGAATCGTCTCGAAAACTACCATGCCATATCTAAAATTTTGGGTTCTAAGAATCTCATTTGCCTATGCAATTACTCCCGAATTTTTCTGACACCAAACTTCATGACCAAATTTTATTTTTTCTGACACCAAACTTTTTTTTTTAAATGTTTTGACTTTTCTCGAGAACTATGCTCGCAAATCTGAGATTTTGGGTTCAATTGAAAATACAGGTTGCGTGAACCCTTTTCCGTCAGCGGCTACGCTCTATTTTTTCACACATGAAGCTATGTTTCTCAGAAATGTCAAGTCAGATATCATAGGTTTAATCAAAACAACAGTTTGTTGAAAGCTTAGGTTTATGATTGGCTATGCCGTTTGTCTTACAAAACTTATAACCTTGAAAGCAGTCAATTTTTTGGAAGTTAAACAATTTCTCGGAAACTTCTTGACTTTACGCGGAAACTACCGTGCCAATATTCAGGTTGTGTTCAATCGAGAATCTCAGCTTTGGGAATCTTCTCTGCGTAAGTCATTAAGCTTATGCCATTAACCTGTCTAGACAATGCCATAAATCTGCTGCTTAGTGTTTATTCAAACTTAAGTATTTTTTTTTTATTTTCTCAGATTTATTTTTTTTCCCTTTCTTTGAAGATCTCAAATTTCGTATTTCATTTGCTAAAACGGGCATTGCTCTGTAACCCAATTGGCTTCGTTGACTGTCCCCTCACTGTCTCTGGTGCTTCATGTTTTAATTCTCGTTATATGCATGTTTGCCATTAACAATGAGAAATAACTTCTTTCTTTCTTTCTTTAAGTGGCCACAACCTGCTTTTTAGCAGCAAAAAAAAAATATTTTTTTTGGAAAGAAATTGGTCCGTTTTTTCTAACTTCACCGTTTTTTTGGAGTTTTTTGCTTTCTTCTTCAATTTTACACAACAAATCTGAGATCGAAAGATCAATTGAAAAAACCGGTTGCAATAGTTGTTCCCGCAAAAGCGGCGAATCCTTTAATTCTTCTTATGGAAATCTTACCTCCTTGGAAAAATTGATTATCTCAAAAATTTTCACTCCCACTTATTTTAGAGAAACAACTAAGTTTTTGGGAAAAGCTTATTTTTTTAAATCTTAGATCTTTTTTGCTGAATGCAGTTTCATTTTAGTTGGTTTCTATGTTTTATTTTACTCCTGCAGTTTTTAATTCTACTAACCTTGACTGCGTATATTTATTTTTTTCACTTTTTTTTGCCGATTGTTTGTCTGCTTTTCGTATATTTTTTGGCCAATGATGTGTCTGCTTATCTGTTGTCGGCTTAGTTGTCACATCTTGGAATCCTTTTTTTATTGCGCGATTTTTTCTTTTTATTTGATTTAAGTGTCTGATTTACTCCTTTATTTTGTAATTTTACATATGTTGACTTCGTATTTTCTTTGTTTTTTTTTTGCTGAAAAATTCATTAGCGCAAATTATTTTGGCTTATTTTGTATCGGCATAATGACACTATTTTTGGTCGTTTCAAAGGAAACACAATTTTAACACTCCCATCCGCACTTCTCAAGTTGGTTATTTAGTTACCAATCGGTTTGTTGAATATATTTGTTTTCATGCACTCATCTGATTTTGTATCCTGAGTCTTGCGAAGCCCGGCTTCGCCTCTGTTTAAAAAAAAGTTTTTGAAAGTACTCAGATAGACTTAATTGACACAGCTATGTTTAGGCTTGTTTCTGTCGGCCTTTTTCTTGTTTAACAGAATCACTTGTGCCTTGTTTCACAATGAATTCAAATTTTATGCGTTCCGGGATAGCTTTGCCTGGAGTTAATGAATATGCGTGGGACGGCAAATGATCTGGGTTGGCGAATGAATCTGTGGGGGTCCTGTTTTTTTTTCAAACAGGAAATGTTTTAATTCAAATAAAATTGTCGGCCAGCTATTCATCTGCTATTCTGTTGTCGGCTTAAACGTCACATCTTGAATTGGTTTTTTTTTCGCTGTTTTTTTTTCTTGATTTTATTGTTTGATTTATTCCTACACTTTGAAATTTTACTTACCTTGACTTCGTATTTCGTTCCTTGTTTTTTTTCGCTAAAAATTATTTTTCGACCCAAATTATTTTGGCCTTATTTTCATCGGTTTAATGACTCAATATGGGGTCATTTCAATTGCAAATCAATTTTAACACTCCCCTCCGCCTTTCGCAAGGTGGTTGTTTGTTTACCAATTGTTTTTTTTTAGTTTTTGAAAATTATTTCATTGGAAAAATTTTAGTTTTATCAGAAATTTCCATTGATTCTCAAAAAAGGGGTTTGAATTGAAAGACCGCGTACTCCGTTGTGTGCCTACAAACTCCGCTATAGTCTCTCTTCTTTTAACCTCTCCTTGATTGCATAAACGGCTACACCCAAAAAATGTTCACTCCTAGAATTAAGGCCCTCGGTGTGGTAAAGTTTTTGAATATCGACAGTTTTGTGAATCTTTTTGACTTATCTCGAAAACCAGCCGCCCACATCGAATTATTAGGGTTCACTGGACACTGGAGATAATAAGTAGAAGGAAGCTTTCCTGATTTAGCTGCCGCCTAAAAAGTTTTTTTCACAGAAAATTATCGTTATCGGAGAAGCCAAATTTTTGATTTTTTTGCCGTTTTAAAACTTTCTGAATATTCTCGACAGCTACCTGCAATATCTTAGATTTTGGGTTCAGTTCATGGGAAACCCAGATTTTGGGCTCAGTTGTGAGGAGCTCATTCGCTTATGCACCAAAAATTATGGCACTCGGAAAAGTCAACTTTTTGATTTTTTGACCGTTTTTTTTTTAAATGTTTCACTTTTCTCAAGAACTACGCTCGCAAATCTGAGATTTTGGGTTCAATTGAAAATACAGGTTGCGTGAATCCGTATTGCGTTAGCGGCTACGCTCTATTTTTCCACTCACGAAGCTATGATTCTCGGAAATGTCAAGTCAGACATCATAGGTTTAATCAAAACAATAGTTTGTTGAAAGCTTAGGTTTATGATTGGCTATGCCGTTTGTTTTACAAAAATTATTAACTTGAAAGAAGTCAGTTTTTTGAAAGTTACACAGTTTTTTGGAAACTTTTTAACTTTACGCGGAAACTACCGTGCCAATACTCAGGTTGCGTTCAATCGAGAATCACAGCTTTGGCAATCTTCTCTGCGTAAGTCATTAAGCTAATGCAATTAACCTGTCTCGACAATGCCATAAATCTACTGCTTAATGTTCATTCAAACTTGAGTATTTTTTTTCCAATGTTTATCTTTGTTTTCAAATTTATATATTTTTCCTTTTCTTTGGAGATCTCAAATTTCGTATTTCATTTGCTGAAACGGGCATTGCTCTGTAACCCAATTGGGTTCGTTGACTGTCCCCTCACTGTGTCTGGTGCTTCATGTTTTAATTCTCGCTATATGCATGTTTACCACTAACAATGAGAAATAATTTCTCTTTCTTTCTTTAAGTGGCCACAACCTGCTTTTAAGCAGCAAAAAAAAATTTTGGAAAGAAATTGGTCCGTTTTTTCGAACTTCACCGTTTTTTTGGAGTTTTTTGCTTTTTTTCTGAAATTTTACACTGCAAATCTGAGATCTAAAGATCAATTGGAAAAATTGGTTGCAATAGTTATTCCCGCAAAAGCGGCGAATCCTTTATTTCTCAAAGAACTATCTTCGCAAATCTGAGATTTTGGGTTCGATTGAAAATACAGGTTGCGTGAACCCTTTTCCGTCAGCGGCTACGCTCTATTTTTTCACACATAAAGCTATG